ACTTTCCCACATAGTGTTATGAGTAAAGGGTTATTTCCCTAGAAGAGGGCTTATGCCTAAAGCTTGAAGGAATGCTTAGACTCCCCATAGAAGCCATGAGCTCTATGGCTCAGAAGCCATGAGCCTTGGAGGCACCTGCAGGTCAGTCAGTGGGGGCAGTTCAGCGCTGGCTGCACCCTGCCCACTGCTGTCTGATTTGTGCAGATGAGGCAGCAGCACTCTGAGAGGCTCTGGTCTCAACCAGGAACTCCAGGAGACCCTGGTGGGGCTGGTGGTTCAGCCAAGGTGTGGGTGGTGTGGCTGCCAGGGAGGGCCATGAGGCGCCTTGAGTCCTGGGCAGCTCAGCTACTGAGTGAGTTGCTGGAGGGTCTGGGGTGGCTGGTGTTGGTTTTATACGGACACCTAGAGGGAATCAGGCTGCACAGATGTGGAGGGTCAAGGAGACAGGGAGGCCCCTCTTCTGGGTGGAGAATCTTCTGGGAAACTCTTGACTGCAGGCGAGGAGGAGGAGAAGGCGTCCTGCGAACACAGTGAGTAAGTCCCACGCAGGTGGTGCTGCACTGGGTCCTCCCAGTGAGATACTTGGGGACTCAGGGCTGCCCTTGGGGCTCCGAACCTGCATATGGCTGTGCCCATCCCATGCACCAGGCAGGCCACCACTTCCTGGCAAGCCACCGTGATTTGACGAGAGTTTTTTTTCTCTGAACCTCATTGCCTCAACAGTTTCTGACATTTCCCACTCCTCTTATTTTTATAACCCAAAAGATACATTTCCCTGTGTGTGAGCAGATGTGCGTGTCTGTGTGTGAATGTGTACATAAGTGCATCTGTGCTTGCATGCTTACACATGTGTACATGTGCCTGTGTGTGTGAATGTCCACATATGTGTGTGCTTGTGTAAATGCACACATGTGTGCATATGCATGTGCCTGTGTGAACATGTGCCTGTGTGTATACACATGTGTGCATGTGGAAATGTACAGAGCAGTCAAAGCAGGTGGCTGAGGTGGGAAGGAGGTACTGGACAACAAAATGCTTGAGATGCTTGATGCCAGTTAGAACTTGAACAATTAAAATCATGCATAGAAAACTAGTACAGCCACTATGGAGAACAGTGTGGAGATTTCTTAAAAATCTGGAAATAGAACTGCCATATGACCCAGCAATCCCACTTCTGGGCATACACACCGAGGAAACCAGATCTGAAAGAGACACTGGAGGTGGGAGGGGGGATCAGGATGGGGAATACATGTAACTCCATGGCTGATTCATGTCAATGTATGACAAAACCCACTACAATATTGTAAAGTAATTAGCCTCCAAGTAATAAAAATAAATGAAAAAAAAATAAAATCATGCATAGATAAAGTTTTAAACAAAACCCAGAAAGTCAGAGAGTGGTAAGAGAATAATGCTAGCCATCACCTGACCACCCAAGCTGCACTCTAGAAAATTTCAGGGCTCCGGACAGTTACACAGCCTATATTTATCTGTTCCCAGAGTGAAGGCTGGTCTTGGCTCAGGATGTGAGTAGCCCCAGGCCACCTGGGGAGCCCTTCTCCTCTGGGGCCTGAGTTCAGTGTCTCTCCATGGCTCACAGCAGCTGCATCATTAAACTAACCTGGCGGCTGAAGAGAAAGATGAATCTACACTGAGATTAATGATAATGCACTTGGATTTACATAACACGTCAAGTCAGGAGGGATCCTTGAGTGCCCTGTGAGCTGCCCGCCCCACCCGCCCCACTTCTGTTTAGGCCGCTCACAACCTGGTCCAGGGACGCGTTGTTGAAGAAAATCGACTTTGTCCGGGAAAGGCCGTCGCCTAGTTCAGAGTGTTTTGTTGTGAGGTTTCGAGAGGTTGAAGCTCTCCTGTTCCTGTCCTGCCTGGAGGGGTTGATGTTTGTTGGGCTGGGGAGGGGGTACGGGGTGGGATGGGGGCTGCAACGGCCTCTCTGACCTTTTCCCTCAGGAGGAAGGGGAGTGAGGACCGGCCGGGCAGATGGGTCCCTGATCAGTTTCCCTATTTGAAACTCCCCTGGTTGGAGTCAGGGCCACACAGCCCAGCATCCAGCCTGCCTCTGGGCCAGACCCTTGGGCCACAGGGTGAACAAGTGGAGCACGCTGTAGGCACATGGGCCTTGCAGGTGCAGGAGGGTTCGGGGGTGGGGGCGTGGTCACTGGGGAGAGAAGGGGAGGGTCTCCCGGCTGCCTGATCGGCAGGAGGAGACAGGAACCCACGCACACATGGATGTGCAGCAGGCAGGCTCTGGGTCCCCTCGGTGGGATAGGTGGGGAGACAGCCCACGCCCTGGGCTGTGATCTCATGAGCAAAGCAGGACCAGGCCTGGCCAGGAATGTAAGGAAGACCTCCCAGGAGCACCCAGGGTGCACAGGCAGGGCCTGAGGCCGCTGATTCACTCAGTGGGAAATCTTCTCTGAGTCATTCCTGAGTCAGTGTTCCAGGACATGGCATGGGCTGTGCAGAGGACCGGGAAAAGTGGGAGACGGGCCCCTCTCCTCCTCAGAGGGCCTGGTGGACGATGCCCCCCTGTGGGTTGGACTGTGGGGTTTTCCTTCTGCCCATCCGATTCCCCCTGGGAGAGGAGTCCAGCTGCCCGCCTCCCCTGCAGGCTTTCTTGGGTACTGTGTCCTGAGATGCTGGCCAACTTTGCCCCATGGGGAAACAAATGCACACCCAGTAGCCTCTCTGCCCCAGGGCGACAGAAGGAGTGGGCCCGGTTGGTCTCCGTCTCAAAGACGCTGGTCAAGGGGGGTGGGGTAGCCTGTCTCCTGACTTACTGGTCATCTCAGGGGAAGGACTGAGGTGGAAACTTTTTACTGGTCCTGTCTTCAGTCAGTCAGGTTTTTCTTAGTTCTTTTTGTCTTTGACATTTCTTTTCTTTAAAAATTATTTATTTATATTTATTTTACTTTTGGTTGCCCTGGGTCTTCGTTGCTGCACAGGCTTTCTCGAGTTGTGACGAGTGGGGCGACTCTCTAGTTGTGGTGCATGAGCTTCTCATTGCAGTGGTTTCTCTTGTTGCGGAGCACCGGCTCTAGGGCATGCCAGCTTAGGAGTTGTGGCACACAGTCTTAGTTGTCCCACGGCATGTTGGATCTTCCCAGACCAGGAATCAAATCCGTATCCCCTGCATTGGCAGATAGATTCTTATCTACTGTACCACCAGGGAAGTCCTATTCCTGTCTTTTTTCTCCCTTAAATAAGGACATATTCTTGATGTCTTGTTATGTAATAGTGTGATGTGCTCATTACTGGCAGGCATGTAACTAGGACACACAGCAGTAATAGTTCTCAGAGTGATTTGAAAAATGGTCCAGGGACTGTGGAAGTTGGACACTGCAGATCACAGGTGTACGTGGGATGGTGGTTATACTTCCCAGGGGCTCTCTTTCCTAAAGACTAGCAGCCCTTGAGATCAGGGAAACTCAGACTCCAGGACACTATTTAGATTCAAGCACAAGTCAGGTCAGTTGCAGACTGGCACTTTCCTGGGACATCACTCCGCGGTGTATGGACACAGGAATTTCACAGTATACTGCTCCAAGTATCCACAAGTCACATAAGCAAGTTTCCTAAAAAAATTTCTAAAATATTTTATTTTCTAAAAAATGAGTTTTCTACATTTCTTGACTTTCTATGTTTGAATTGTGACTATGTGACTAATCTTATCCATACAGAGAAGTATTAATATCAAGAACACCCTCTGTGGTAACTGGGCATATGCATGTAAACTTCCTGTCACCCCAAGTAATAAATGTCTTTGTAAAAGCAAACGCCGGGAAGCGTGTCCTAAGGCTCGGATTTACTTCCGCGTCTTCGCTCAGTGCTGTCACTCTGTCCCAGCGGAAGAGGCGCGGTCCTTGGCTCACATCGAAGCTGCACGTGGAGATGCTGGTCCTTGCGACGAAGGTCGCGCTGAGCTGGGGGGAGGAACTCAGAGCGCAGGCCTGTGGACTGTGGAGCTGACTTTTCATCCGCGCGCCTGGGGTCTGCCTTTCCCGCCCCCAACCCCCCCGCCCCGCGCGCACCTGCCCGCCCACCCGCTGCATTCCGGGCTCGCGGTCGCGAAGCTGTTCTGCAAACAGGAGTTGGACTAAAAGCCAAACCCGCCCAGCAGCTCGAGACTCGGAGCACCGACCGCCCGCAGCCCCTTTTCTAGCAATCGAGACGTTTACTAGGCTTCACGCAGCGTTTCCAAGATTTTTTTCCTGCTCGTCGTACAGAAAACGTGTGTCTATCAGAGTGGCTACCGCCCGGGGCCGCCAAATGTCCCTGCCTCCAGCGGCTGCGCTGCTGGCCGCGGGCCGGCGAGGAGGGAGTGGGGCGGGGCTAGAGCGCTTCCCGCGCGGCTCCACGAATGGATGTGCCAGTGGACCGAGCGTTGGGTTCACGCGCCCTGGGCGCCCCAGCACTCGCCCTGCGCGCCCCCTCACTTGCCCGCGCCCCGGCCCTCACCTGCCCGCGCGCCCCGCATCTGCACCTGCACGCGCACCGCGCCTCACCTGCCGCTTGCGCCCTGGGGCCACACCTGCGCATTGGAGTCCCGCCACCAGTTTCCGCTTTGCGGGAAGGAACCGCAGGGAGAGAGTTAGGAAAGGACGGGGCTGGCTCTTCCTCCGGACCCGGAAGGCAGGGTGCTCCGTGTCCCCACGGGGTCGTGGACCCGTCCCGGGGTGCGTGCAGTGAAGGGGGAGGCTGCGAAGCCACAGCTGACGTCATACAACTGCGGGAGGCACCTGCCCGAAGGGAAGCCTTAGAAGGAATAACGTGTGGACGGACCAGTCTTTTGGAAACACGTTCCTTTGAGACAGAGGCGGCGCGTTCAGGGAAGATTGCGGTTTCCCTGGCTGGTTGCAGGGTGGCATGGGCCGGGGCTTGAATTAATTTTTCTGATAATTTTTAGAAGTATTTCTTGAGTATTACACCTTTCTGCAGTGTTACACAGTTTTAGTATTTGTTCTTATTCTTGTACACAGGAACACCTGGAGTTACTACTGGAAGCAGTCCTTTGTGTGGGAGAGATAACACTCATATTGGTCCAGCTGTGTTAGAAGGCTTGGAGCTTCTTGGCCAGAGATGAGGATGACAGTAAAGCAGCAGGTCTGCATGTCCACCCATGCACACTCCCTGTGTCCAGGCCCCGACAGTGGTGAGGAAGCCTGTCAGCATGGCCTGGCTGGCGTGGCTCTTTGCTTTGTGAATAGGGCTTTGCTGAAAGGAAGGTGACCCTTTTCTCCTGCCTGCCCAGCTGGGACAGTTGGCCCTTGGGCTCACGAGGGTTCTTTCTCCCAGGGGCACATGTGGGCAGATTCCTTATTTTCCTTTCCTGCTTGAAGGAGTTGGTCCTATGACAGGATGACCAGTGTCTGGGTTGTGGCTATGATGGTCTAAGTGGCCAGGGCAGAGAGAGTTCCCCAAGGAAATGTGGCCCTGGGAAGGCTCTGGGAGTGGCTCCCCGCACGGGAGAGCTGCAGGAGCAGGGTTCAGGGGTGAGTGAGTGTGGGGCGGTGGCCACTTGCCAGATGGCGCCTGAGGCTGCAGACCTCCTGTGCGCGAAGCAGACCAAGTCGTGGGCCTCCGTGGACTCTGCCTTCTGTGTGAAGAGACCCTTAAGCCATGCAGGTGATGATGGTGAGAAAAACGGGAGAGATGAACCGGGAAGGGGGCCAGTGTGGGGCACCGGTCAGGGAGAGTTCCCCTGTGGGACGTGGGGGAGTCCATCATGGAGGTGGCCTTGGGACCACGTGGCCCAGACATGGAGGCAGGAGCACGCTGTTGTCCCTGGGGGGGCCACAGGAGGAGGCAGGAAGGCTGCCCTGGTGGCCATGAGCTTGCTGTGGTGGAGGCTCGCTGGCTATGACTCTGGTGAGACGGGCTTCAGCCAAAGGCTGTGATGCTCTTGTTCCAGCTTTAAAATGTTAAAGTCGTATTGGAAACAGACAAGGAAACAGAGGCTGTGGAGGCCTACAGGGAGGCTGTGGGGGCCGACGAGGAGGCTGTGGCGACAGCATGGGTGTGAGATGGTCCAGCCGGAAGGTAGGGTGGTGCTGAGGTGTGGTGGTGGTCGTTATCCTGCCAGCTGGGGACCGAATGTGTCAGGAGACAGCTGTGGGCCGGGCCTGGCAGAGCCAACTTGAGAGGGTGGGTTGTCAGAGACCCAGGAGCTCTGTCCCCAGGGGTTGAGCATTGGTGGCTTGAATTGGTCCAAGGTGGGAGCATTTACACCACAGAAATGAACAAATCCACAAATCCAGGCTCTTTCCTCTTGACCGATGGGCTTCTCGCCCATCGTGGGATCAGAGGACAGGCTGGGTGGCCACCCAGGACCGCAGTGACCAGAGGGGTGAGGCTGAGGAGCTCACAGACTGGGGGTCTCAGCTGATGAAGGTAGATCTTCACAGGATAACCATACTTTCCATTCAGGGGGAATCCCGTCCCTTTCGTGTCTGGGATTAAATCCAGCCCTGGTCAGGCACACGTGCCCTCTTCATGAGTGACAGCTAGAGCCGCACCATATTTCTTCCCTTAGGGGAGCCAGGTGTGGCTGCCCATGGGGCGTCTCTACAAACATACCCCTCCCCACACATTCTCAGTGGCCTCTCGTCCCCCCTTCTATCCGACTCTGTCCTCAGAGGACACCAGCGGATCAAATGCTCTGTTCCTTGGTGTTTTGGAGATTACTGTCCAGGGCCTGGCATGGCCCAGCGGGAGTGGCTTTGCACAGCTCGCAATCTGTATTTCTGTGGACTGTGAGGCTAACCTTCCCTCGGGCTGTATGGGCGGCTTGCTTCAGCATCCAGGAAAGTCCCGCTGCCCGTTCGTAGGGGCAGAGCTGCGGCCTCCCTGTGGGGCTAACGAAAACACCCTGGACGATTTACAAGGACTGCCTTTTCTGTGAAGTGTCCAGGACTTTCACCTACTATGCGGTCTGGCGCCGACAGCCCTGGCTGGTGGGGGGTTGTCCCAGCTGGGCGGGAGTGTTGAGGTGCAGATCTGCAGGGAGGCGGCCAGGCCAGGAGCCGGAATCCAGGCGCCATCCCCGTCTGGCCTTGACTCACTCTCTTGGATGGAAACGCTGTATGAGGATTCTGCGGGATGGGCTGCTGTGGGCCCGGCGAGCCTGGGCTGCTGGTCCTGGTCCCTTGGGAGCATTTGGGAAGGTCTTGATTTTCCTGATTCTGGGGTCGAGAGCTCCTTTCATTAAAGGGTGGGTCCAGCTTGTCTGAGTGGAGACTCAGCCCCGAGAGAAAATCCAGAAAGCAAGATCCTAGAAAAATATTTTGTATTATTGCCATTTTTATTTCTGGGTTTCATTCTACCTGTATTTAAAGAAAAGATGGCATAAATCTACTGTTTTTGGCAGAAGCATTTAAAATGTCCTCCTCTCTCAAATTGAAAATAGCTTTCACAATTCTCAGGTCAGAACATACATCCTCCCTGTGGAACCATGCTGGTTCCACCCAGTCTGTCATCTACTGAATCAAGCTCAACTAGTCAGGGTGGACACAACTGCAGGAAAGATCACCTGGAGCCCCTAGCCTCTGGCAGGAATGCAGAGCCTTCTGTGCAGCCTGCAGCCAGTGAACACAGAGAACACCCCCTGCCCCCTGCCCAAGACCCCCCCCCCCCCAACCTCCCACCAAGGGCAGCATCTCACAGGAACCACCCCCACCTCCCACCAAGAGCAGCTTCTCACAGGATTCCCCCACCCCAGTCCCCACCCAAGGACAGCATCTCACAGGCTCCGTGTGACCGGAACGCCACCCCCAGTCTCTGGGTTCAGAGAGGAAATAGAGGACTGTTTTTTTCCCCCATTTCTAACAGCAAGGGGTTTTCCTCATGAGCCATCAGTTTTCTGATTTTTTGACACCAGCTGGGCCGACAACTCAGTTCTGATGCCAACTCCTAGAGGGAGAGCAGACTCTGCGGGTAGGGGCTCACTCACCAGACCCCCTCACTTCTGCCTGGACGACTGCAGATTTGGTTTTTCTGGCCTGATCTGGCCTGAAGCTGCCTGGGGCCACACGAGAGTCCCCTCATTAGCAAGAATTTGGGTTTGTTCAGAAGGGTCCTGTTGTGAGCATGAGAGACACTTCCGTTGCTCAGGAAATTCCAACAGTTCTCAGAGTGCTGTGCCGGGAGCCTAGAAGGGTACCAGATGTGTGTTTCCTATCATACACCCAGAGGCTGCTTCCCTTGCCCAGCGCTAGTCACCGTGGAACGAGGCCAGAGCTCTAGGTGAGCTGGTCCTTGCACAGGGGAGGGGTCCTGGGGGCTGTCAGTGTCTCTTCACATTTTCTGTCCTCAGAACATAACTTCTGTTTCTGCACTGACCAGTTAGGCTCTGGTAAAAACAAAGTGTTCCAGCGGCCACTGGAGCACTGGACAAGTGGCTGGTGCCCTGCAGTGTTATTATTTATTGAGATGACTGCTTTATTTAGTTCCAGTCAGCTCAAGCCCCTGTGGCTCATGGCTGTGCTGTGAAGCTCTACACACAGACCCTCTGGAGATGACGGGAGACCTCAAGGGGAGAGAGTGCCACCCCCCGAGTCGGGAGCAGCTGCATACCCCTCATCTCTTACTTCCCTCCCTGGAACTGTAACCTAAAGTGAGGAGACACTGGCATTCCTGGCCGTGCCCAGTGTTGGATTCATCCATCCATCCATCCACTCATCAATCCATCCATCCATTCAATCGGCATCACCAATTCAATGCACATGAACTTGGGTGAACTCTGGGAGATGGTGAGGGGAGGGCAAGGAAGTCTGGTGTGCTGCAGTCCATGAGGTAGCAAAGAGTCGGGCACGACTTAGCGACTGAACATCAACCATCCATTTGACCATCTATTCATCCATTCACTCCTCCCTCCATCCATCCCTCTGTCCATCCATCTTTGAACAAATATTTCTTGAGCATGTTCAACACATTCAGTGCTTTTCCAGGTACATGAATTTAGAGTCACACAGCAATTCTTAGAATAGTTGCAGAATCGAATTTAGTATAAGAGCAGAGTTAAATACTGAAATTATGTTTAAAAGTTCTCCTTCCCAAAGTGATGTCAATCGAGAGGGTGACTCCTAGTGGGAGGAGGTGGGTGAAACAGGTGAAGTGATGCCGTGCGTCCAGTGTTTGAAGGGTCCTCCTGAGTGAGATGGCGACTGCCTGCAGTGTGGCATCCTGCACCTGCCGCAGGTGTGAAGTGCTTGTTCAGTACAGGGGCGGGTGGTTCTTAAAGGGGTGTTGGTGATGGAGGGCAGGTTTGGGAGCTACGTGGCTTCCCCCGCGTGGAAGCCTGGGTTAGATGGAACTGAGCAGGGGCCCTGGTGGACCTCAGGAAGGGGAGTGAATCAGAAATCTAATAGTGGAGAAAATGGAGACAGAAGCAGCCGTGAGCCACAGTACCCTTGGGAGGCTGGTGTTTCTCCAGAGAGGGGTGGTGTTGAGGTCAGAGGAGGCTCGGCCAGCTCTGGGCACGCTGCGGGGAGTGGTGCCCAGGGACTGCCTGGAGGAGGTGCTTACTCTGAGCCCGAGCCCCTCCCTGCGTCCCCTTACCCCCGCCTGTCTGGGAACTGGGCCTTGTGGGTGGGAACAACTCTTGCCAAGAGGAGAGCAGCCGGATGGAAGCATAGCTGCACATTTTGTTCTGTGCATGGTGGACAGCACCGGTGAGATGGCCTGTGGCCCTCTGGCCCGTATCTGTGTCATGAGAAGGCACTGGGCCAGGGCCCTTTTCTCTGTTCCTGGGACAACAACAGATTAGCACAGAGCAGGCCTTGTGCACAGAAGAGCCTCAGCCCTCAAATCTGGACATCCATTCAAGAGATGTTGAATGTGGTATACAAATGCACACAGAGATTTATGAGTGTATATAATACATATATAGCATTTGGAATGGAGCACTTCTATATCCCAGCAAAATGCATTTCTCTCTGTGTAGGTGAGAGAGCTGGGTGTATGTGCGGCCTGGGAAGGATTTGTTTGCAGGGAAATTAATGAAATTTTACATTTACATAAATCACCAATTACATGGTCAGCTTCTTTCTAAACCTTTACAAGCTTACATAAATAATTTAATCTAATTGCCTCGAAGCCCCACTGTCGTGGAATTCTACAGCTCCAGCTCCCATTCCAGGGCCCAGGTCACTCCCCTTGGTTTGGGGAACACCTTGACCATGTGCTGGCAGAGCTAGGGTGGGGGAGAAAACGGGCCCGAGCAGACCCAGCAGCAGGGCTGGACAGCAACTAGGGAGTCCGGCTTTGGTCCCAGGTCTGGATGGACACATAGGCAGGGGTGGGGTCCTGTTTGGGAGAGGTTAGTGGGGTAGGCCTGTGGGCAGGTGTGGAGGTGTGCTCCCTGCTGGTGCTGGTGCTGGGGCCCTAGCTTGGGGTTGGGGGGTTACAGGCAGCCATGGGGAGGGGCCTCCAGAGGGGAAGGAGAGGCCTGCAAGCATGGAGGCCCAGTCTTTCCTGGGGGCCGCTTGCCCACCTCTGATTTCAGACTTCCACAGCCAGGCTGCTTCTCTCACACGAAGCCCTTTCCAGCTGATTTCTGTCCATTAGGGAATGAAGGCAGTTAGTGGCGATTTAGGAAAATGTTAAACTTGATGTGTGGAAGTGGTGTTTT